CCTTGGATAGAAAATCTCAACTTTGTGAGACTGAAGGAATCTGGCTGGAGTGAGAGGTTACTGAAAAGTCTTTATTATGTGACATGGAAACATGGTGATCAGTTTCCTGATGAGATTGAGAAACTTTGGAGCACTGTGGCAAGCAATACTCGCAATATCATCCCAGTTTTGAACTTCTTGATCACCAGAGGGATTGAGGACTGTGATGCCAATCCATCGGCAGAGATCACTGGTGCTTTTGCTACTTATTTTTCTGTTGCGAAGCGTGTTAGCCTATATCTTGCTCGGATCTGCCCACAACAGACCATTGATCACTTGGTCTGCGAGCTATCTCAGAGAATGCTCGAGGACAACGAAGAACCAGTCAGGCCTGGGAAAGTTGATATCTCTGCAAATGTCGTATTGGAGTTTTCTCAAGGGCCTACTGCCTCTCAGGTTGCAACAGTTGTCGATAGCCAGCCTCACATGTCCCCCCTTCTTGTTCGTGGTTCCCTTGATGGTGCAGTTAGAAATGTCAGTGGAAACCTGAGCTGGCGGACATCTGCAGTTACCGGCCGAAGTGTATCTGGCCCACTGAGCCCGTTGGCTCCTGAGGTAAGCATTCCAAACCCAACGGCAGGCCGATCAGGCCAGCTACTTCCAGCGTTAATGAATATGTCGGGGCCGTTGATGGGTGTTCGAAGCTCTGCTGGTAATCTGAGGAGCCGCCATGTTTCCAGAGATAGTGGTGACTACTACTTTGATACCCCAAACTCAACAGATGATTTTTTGCATCAAGGGGGCAGTGGAATTCACGGGATCAATGCCAATGAGCTCCAGTCAGCATTACAAGGGCACCAACACTTGCTTTCACGTGCTGACATAGCTTTGATTCTTCTGGCTGAAATCGCTTATGAAAATGATGAAGACTTCCGTGAAAATTTACCTCTGTTGTTCCACGTCACATGTGTTTCGATGGATAGCTCAGAAGACATTGTACTCGAGCATTGCCAAGATTTGCTCGTGAATCTCCTGTATTCATTGGCTGGCCGTCATCTTGAACTGTATGAGGTTGAAAGTAGTGAAAGAGAGAATAAGCATCATGTGGTGAGCTTGATAAAATACATTCAGTCTAAAAGGGGCAGCCTGATGTGGGAGAACGAGGATCCTACCCTTGTCCGGACCGAACTTCCTAGCGCTTCACTCTTATTGGCACTTGTGCAAAGCATGGTTAGTGCTATTTTCTTCCAGGGGGACCTTCGTGAGACTTGGGGTTCTGAAGCTCTTAAGTGGGCCATGGAGTGCACATCTCGTCACCTGGCTTGTCGGTCGCACCAGATATACCGTGCGTTACGTCCCAGTGTTAAAAGTGATAGCTGTGTATTGCTTCTGAGATGCATCCACAGATGCTTGGGGAATCCTGTTCCAGCTGTTCTAGGTTTTGCGATGGAGATATTGCTGACTTTACAGGTCATGGTTGAAAACATGGAACCTGAGAAGGTTATACTTTATCCACAGCTCTTTTGGGGCTGCGTTGCACTGATGCACACCGACTTTGTACACATCTACTGCCAGGTGCTTGAGTTGTTTTGTAGGGTAATTGATCGCTTGACATTCCGTGACCGGACAACAGAAAATGTGTTACTCTCAAGCATGCCGCGTGATGAGTTTGACATCAATGGGTATGCAAGTGACCTCCACAGGCTGGAGTCTAGAACTACTTCAGAGAGACTGTTATCTGTGGCTGAGACTGGGAAGGTCCCTGCTTTTGAAGGGGTGCAGCCGCTGGTGCTGAAAGGGCTCATGTCCACTGTTAGCCATGGATCTGCAATTGAGGTGCTATCTAGGATCACTATACCTACGTGTGACTCTATATTTGGGAGCCCTGAGACAAGGTTACTGATGCACATCACAGGCCTTCTTCCATGGCTTGGTTTGCAGCTCACGAGGGAACGTGAAGTACCTTCCCTCGGGTCAGCTTCGCCACTGCAAGAACAGAACCAGAAAGCTTACTATGTGGCATCCAATATCTCAGTATGGTGCCGTGCCAAGTCTCTGGACGATTTGGCCGAAGTGTTCAGAGCATATTCCTTTGAGGAAATCATGTCGTTGGAAGATCTGTTTGCACGAGCTTCGCCACCAATCTGTGCAGAGTGGTTCCCTAAGCACTCATCTTTGGCCTTTGGGCACCTGCTGAGGCTCCTGGAGAGAGGCCCTCTGGATTACCAGCGGGTGATTCTTCTGATGCTTAAATCGCTGCTGCAGCAAACCCCTGTGGATCCGTCCCAGATACCCCAGGTGTACAACGTCGTGTCGCAGCTGGTGGAGAGCACATTATGCTCGGAGGCACTGAACGTGCTGGAGGCGCTGTTACGGAGCTGCAGCGGCGTGGCTGGCGGGCAAGGCGAGGAGGCTGGATTTGGCGAGAATGGGCATGGGACCGGGGAGAAGGTCCTCCAGAGCATGCTGCTTCCTCAGTCGTCTTTCAAGGCTAGGAGCGGACCGCTGCAATATGCCGCGGGGTCGGGGTTCGGGTCCTTGATGGGGCAAGGCGGTGGTGGTGGCAGCAGCAGCGCCCCAGATAGCGGGTTGGTGGCACGGGATGTAGCGCTGCAGAACACCCGGCTGCTGCTTGGGCGAGTTCTTGATACCTGCGCGCTTGGGCGCAAGAGGGATCACAAGCGGCTGGTGCCCTTTGTGGCAAACGTCGGGTAAGACAAGACCATATATAGCGGCACAATTTTGACTGGGCAGCAGAGCAGAGCAGCGCGGTTTGTGACTGGGTATGGTGCAAGGTGACACGCAGATAGACGTGGCTCTAGTAGCTGTAAGTAAGGCTGCAGTTCAGTGTACAGTATTGGGAAGTATTTATTTATTTATTTATTAATTATTGTTTTGTTTTGTTATGTTTTGTTGAGGGAGGCAGTGTGTGTAATTGAAAACCAATTATGGACATGGGTGGCATGCCATCCTTTAGTAGGATCTTTCTCCGCTTGTGAATGTGGAAAGGAGCAGAAATTGAGGATGAAACACAAGTCCTTGACAGGCTCCTTGTGTGGTGTGGATATGATGAGTCACGGTCAGTGTAGCGTGGGGATGGATGGAAGAGGAAAGTTGCTTTCTGATTCCGGGCACCGTCCTTATCTTGTTGTCATAACCGTCCGACTCCGGTGACCGGTGGTGGGCGTCTGGATCTCGCATCGCATCCTGACGTGGAAGTCACCGCGACGAGTTTGTGACATAGTCACTGTGACTGTAATCCGGTGGTGGGGTACACCTTTCTCACTTTCAATCACGGCACGGCTCAGCACAGGGCTAGTTGTTCCGTTTAGTATTATTTTCGTTTCCCATCATAGCGAAAGTTATTTATTTATTTAGGCCCCGTTTAGATCTAAAAGTTTTTTTTTGTGTTGGCTACTGTAGCACTTTCGTTTGTAGTTGACCATTAGTGTCTAATTATGGACTAATTAGGTTCAAAAGTTTCGTTTCGTGATTTCTTATCTAACTGTGCAATTAGTTTTTTTTTCGTCTATATTTAGTACTCTATGCATGTGCCGCAAGATTCGATATGACGGGTACTGCGTAAATTTTTTTTAATCTAAACGGGGCCTTATTAGTCCAAAGTGTCACTGAATCTATCCATAAATAAACAGAATCATTAAAGGAAGTCATCTTTTCTTGCGATGGCTGCGTCGCGTGTATGTATGTGAGTGAAACTGGGCGTGCAATGGTTTGGTTTCGTTTTTTCCTCTCCTGTATAAGAAAACATATATATATATATGGTTGGACTGGGGCGTAGCAAAATTGGGCGAGCAACCAAAGAAACACATGGTGTGCCGTGTGCGTGTGTGCAGGGCCATAGTGGTGTGCACATGGAATGTTTCATCTCTTGCCATCTGGTTCATGTTCATTCTGGCGCTCACTCCCATGCACCCAACTGAAGCAGAGCAGGGGCGAAACACATGATGGTGCGTTTGGAATCTGTGCACAGTTTCTACTTGCACAGATTCTTACTTTGGCCTCGATTAGATTGCAAGTTTTTTCACTCTCTCTCAATTACATCAAATATTTGATGAGTATTAAATGTAGATAAAAAAATAACTAATTACACAGTTTGATTGTAAATTACGAGACGAATCTTTTGAGCCTAGTTAGGCCATGATTGGACAATAATTGTCAAATACAAACGAAAGTACTACAGTGTCAAATACTGATTCATAATCCCAATCTAAACGAGGCCTTTGTTTAGTTTCCAAAACGTTTTCCAAAAATTGCTGCAGTAGTCATCATATCGAATCTTGCGATACGTGCGTGGAGCATTAAATGTAGACGAAAAAAACTAATTGCACGGTTTGGTTGAAAATTACGAGACGAACGTTTTGAATCTAATTACTCCATGATTGAATATTAATGGCTAAATAAAAACAAAAAGGCTACAGTAGTCAAATTCTCAAAATTGATGAACTAAACAAAACTAAACACAGTCTGAAGGAAACTTTCTTTTCGGAGGGGAGAGGAGAGCAGAGCACTTTACACATGGATTACACAGACACACAGGTGGCAGAGCCAGATCTACTGTGCTTTTTAAGACGACACGGCAGCTGCAGAGCAGAGGAGGGAGTGAGAGAGCAGGGCTAGCTTGGCTTGGCTTGGCTAGGAGTACTCGTAGGCCAGTAGCTAGCAGATTGGGGGAACCCGAGCCCCTCGTCTACCCTGGCGTCCCTCCCACTTGAGCTGAGACTGAGAGCTGTTCAGCAGCTGCTGCTGATGCTCAAGAAAAGAAATACAGTAAAGCTCTCCTCTCCTCTCCTCTCCTCTCCTCTGAGCTGCTGAGCTGAGAGCTCGCAACCACAACCACAAACAACCCAAGCAGATCCATCCCATTCCCATCCCAAACAAAGCGCATCGATCGCCAAATACTCACTCGGGGCCTGCGCTGCTCCTCCGCCTCCGCCGCTACACTTCAGACTAATAAATCTTGCCGCCGCCGCCGTTGCCTAGCTCTTTGCCTGGCTTCAGCTATGGATTCCGCCGCCGCGCGGCCCGACGAGGAGGAGGCACGCCGCCGCCGGAGCACCGACTGCATCTACTTCCTCGCCTCCCCGTTGACCTGCAAAAAGGTACCACCTACTCCTGCTACTTCCCCGGCCCCTTTTATCTTCTTCTTCATTTGATTTCCTTTCTTCTCTTACTTACTACTGCATACAGCAAGTTAAAGGTTAATCTGCTCTTTCTTGGATTCTTCTGCCATACATGTTGCTCGCTCCCTTCAATTATAGTCTTATAGATGCCATGGCATCTCTCTTCGCCTCCTCTAGATGCATGCATGTACGCTAGGCATCTCTCTTCGCCTCCTCTAGATGCATGCATGTACGCTACTTAGCCTACCCTAGCCTTCGATCTGGATCACCACCTTACTTTTCTTCGGCCTTTCCGAATCTCCTACTATAGATCTCTTTAATCCGTTGCTTACTCTTCGCTTCCAAGGCCGCATGCATAACATAGATCGTTCCTTCCAACGTTCAAGCTTTATTCCATTTTCTACCATCACCTGATAATACATACCCCCCCTGCTGCATCATTTCCAGATCCATATCCATGGCACTGTAATTTTAATTTCTACATACAGTAGGTTACACTTAGTTCGTTGAGCTTGAGTTGGACTCACCTCGCTCACATGTTGGAATCATAATCTCCTGCACTGCATGCAGGGAAGTGAATGCGAGTACCGTCACAGCGATGCTGCCAGGATGAATCCCAGGGACTGCTGGTATTGGTTCCATGGCAACTGCGCCAATCCTAAATGCTCCTTCAGGCACCCGGTGCGCCCTCCGTCCACCCTCCGCCCTCTACACATCCAAACACAAATTAATGCCATGATTATTTCAGTACATTCTAAGTAACACAAGCATGATGATTTGCTTTACTCTACTCGTGTTTTTTTTTCAGCCATTAGACAACCTGGCCGGAGCACCAACAACTCCACGTCCAGCTCAACAGTCTGTACCCCAAGCTTCAGCTTCTGTTCCAGCTCAACCCCATGGATCTGTTCCTGCCATTGCCAAGCAGGGTGTTCCATGTTATTACTTTCAGAAGGGCATGTGCACAAAAGGGGACAGGTGTACCTTCCTGCATGCGCCCCAGTCTGCAGGAAACCCTGCTCCACAGCCGCCGGCCAAGGTCTTCACCCCTGCCTTGCAGCCTAATCTTCATCCTCTGTTGAAGAACTCCTGGACAAAACCCAACTCTTCGTCCCAGCAGAGCACGCCTGCGGTAGGCGTAGTTGACAAGCCAAAGGCCAGCGCTCATGATGGTAAACTGCTTCATCACAAGCAAAGTCTGACGATGAGTAGGGCCGATCATCGATCAAGAGTTTATCAGAATCACAGTAATTCTTATGCACAGCCTGGTGCACCAAAGTGTTACCAGCCTCAGCCTTCAGTCCAGGATGGCTTAACTGACAATGGTATGGAGGTGGGCGAATTTGTGAGAGAACCATCCGCTGGTTCTGGCGTGATTGTCGGTGCTGCTGACGACGACGCTCAACAGTCATTCAAGGGAAACCATACCACTTACAACCATCGTGCTAATGGTACTGGAGGGATGACGAGGCAAACACATGGTGGATATGAATCAGAAAGGTCATACAGAAATTCGGCAGAGAGGTCTTCATCAGAGAAAAGGATTTCCCAGAGAGAACATATCTCCGCTGTGGCTGCCAGCAGTTCGGATCTGCGCCATAGGCTACTGAAACAAAGAAAGCTCAATAATAATTCAGGATCAACTGAAGCCCCTGGTAAGCATGACACTCATCTTGAGGATGAGCGCAATGACCAACATCGTCGGCGAGGTGAACAGCAGGATGGCCTCTCAAGGTCTCGACTGCGTGATAGAATAAGGCTACCTGGGGAGACATCGTTTGACAGGCTTGGGCCACGTTCAGAGGAGTGGGATAGAGGTTCTAGAGTCAGATTGTCACCACCAAAACCCTCAGACCTTCGAGGGAGGCTTCATGAAAGGCTAAAGGCTAGATCAGCTGAGGAGATACCGGGTAACAGTGCAAAAGATTTGGCGGTGAAGGAAAATAGCAGTGAGGATACTGAATCACTGAACTTTGCTGGTCCAAAGAGCCTTGCAGAGTTGAAGGCAAAGAAAGATGTTGGCAGGTCAGGAGAAGATGCCATCGTCAAGGGCTTAGGCTCTTCTCGTGTGACTTCAGAAATAGTTTCGAGCAGGGAGGCTGCTCCGTTTGAAGGTCCAAAGCCCCTGAGTGCCATACTGAAGAGAAAAAGAGAGGCGACTTCTGAAATCCCCGCTGCCCAGCCTGGCATCATACAGGAAGCAGATAACTACACTGCAGGAGCGGAAGAAGAATTCCAAACTGTGGCAAATGACACGGTTGGGGAGAACATGGAGGGCATTGGAGAAGAAGAGGAGGAAGAGGAAGCCTTCCATCCTGAAGATGATGTGGCGTACGACGACAATGCCGATGAAGCTGCAGCGGCCCAAGAGCTGGACGAGTATCAAGATGCAGAGGCAGCAGCAGAAGACAACGCCGATGAAGCTGCAGCGGCCCAAGAGCTGGACGAGTATCAAGACGCAGAGGCAGCAGCAGAAGACTATGACGATGAAGCTGCAGCAGCCCAAGAGCTGGAGGAGCATCAAGACGGAGAGGCAGCAGCGGAAGACTATGACTATGAGGCGGTGGACGTCAACGCTGAGGAGGAGAATGACTACCAGGAGTACCAAGACGACGACGATCTAGAGGATGAGGACGATGAATTCGCGCGAAAAGTGAGCGTGATGATCTCCTGAACGAGCCGGATAAGCAAGTTGTTGTACGAGGAGGCCCAAGCAACAAGAAGAGGTATCAGTGGTTCTCACAAGGTGTTCATCTCTTTTGGCGCGAGGTACTTTTTAGTTCACTGCGCAAAAGACAGACTAATATATAGTTGGGAGAACAGAGATAGAAGAATGGACATTGTTGAAAAAATGAGCTCCTTCATCGGAGAGCTCACTTGTTGTAACAACCAAACCAAGGAGATGCAGCCACCGACCTGTCTGTCTGTACTCACGCAAATGTGCCGGGGCTCCTCTCTAGAGTAGGCCCCTGCACGTGCTGTGTTGTATTTTTAGTTGACATGAGACCTAACAGATTTCATACTGTATATCTGTATTTGCTTTTTTGATTGATGCGTAAGATGAAAATATATTGCTGGTAGAGAATACATCTACAATACATTCATTCTACACCCTTGCCTCCAGATGTACAGTTATTCGATATCTATTTGCTGGTAGGCATGGATGCCTTCCTATACTTCAAAGATCCTAGAAGTATCTCATATGTAGTGGCATTGAACAGTTGGAAAGGAAAAACTTCATGTCTCCATTTCAACTCCGACAACACTGGAGCCAGTAGCATGGGATGAAGTTGGCGAGGTGGCGCTAGTTCTACAAACTTTGTGGTATCTGCATCATCTTTTTTTCATGGGTTTCAACAACTCTTTGAGAGGCCCTCGTCCCTTGACGTCCTTGGGCTCCTTCGGCTTGTCTTTGCTGCATGTGCAGCTGCTGGTGTTGAGGTTTGCGCCGCAGGTAAGGCATAGGCCCTTGCAATTGGGGATGCAGACTGCATCCAACGTGATCTCCAGGTGTATGATGTCCCGGATGTGCTTGGATATATCGATTTCCTTGTCAGTGGCTGGGAAGTGCAGCCGGTCATCCCAGTCGATATCTTGGTCATCGTCTTCGTCATCCATGGTGCCAGCTAGCGAAGCACCCTTAGCGATGTCCTCTTCAAAAATCGTGCCGAGGTCAACTACGTCTGGTTCCTCTACTGGGTCTTCTGTCAACAACAGGGAAAAATTCGCAAATATGCCTTCAGGAGCTGGCTCAGCACACCTGAGCAAAGAAGAGAGCCAAGCATGATATCTTATGTTAGTTAGTACTAGTTACCACTGGGGGTGCATATGATTCAGTGTCAGTGTGGCTTGTGTGTACTTAGAAGTGTAAAACAAACAGGTGCGATAACCATGATAAAGAATTTCACTCTGTCTGCTTCTCATATATATAATATATTTGACAAATGCATGACATGTGCAGCTTAAACACTAGTATGATGATTTGCTGCCTCTGTTGGGGAGCTAAACTTTTACTACAAAAAAAGAGAAGAATTGTGCCCTTTCTGGGACAGAGGATTGAGTGAGTACTTTGTTTCCCTGAAAGGCAGGTTGTTTATTGTGTGTTGGGAAAATGTGACGTGAAGTTAGACCATGGTATGACAAAGGGATTGTTTTATTCTCACAAGGAAATTGCTTCTCACAGGACAGGATTGGAGCATATTTTGTAATCTGTAGATAGGAAATTACTAAATGGGAAAGTAGTGTGGGTGGCATTCATCAACTAGACAGATAGATAGTGATTGCAATTTGCAAAGCACAGGTAGAGTAGTCTTGTGTGGCGAAGAAGGAAGAGATTGAGACTGATGGCACGGCACCTGAAGCAGCCGAGGGTGATGACGGTGCGCACGATGCCGTCCAGGCGCAGGCGGCCGCGGCGCCTGGTGACGTCGAGGGAGACGAGGACGGGGGTCTGAGACTGAGCGGCAGTGCTGTCCTGTCCCCCTCCAGCCAGCCCCAGCCCCAGGTTGGCGGCGCGCGCGCGGGAGTCGGGGGAGGAGAGGTCCCCGAGGCCGAGGCGCTCCAGCGTGGTGGCGTACTCGAGGTGGTGGACGGCGGCGTCGCGGCGGTACACGAGCGCGCCCTCCCATGGAGAAGGGAGTCCGTCGTCGTCGGATTCCGATTCCGGTTCCAGTTCAGCAGCGTCCAAGTCGACGGTGAAGAAGTCGTCGGAGACGGCGGCGATGGGCGTCCTCCTCCTCCTAGTCCTCACCCATGGAGGCGGCGCGGAGGAGCGGCGGCAGTGGAGAAGGGATGACGCTCTTGGGGAATGGGAGTGAGAGTGGCTGCGGAGGGCGGGGAGCGAGGGGCGGAGGGCAGCCGCCGCCGCCGCCACCACGGAGACGGCAGGCTGAGGATAGTACATGATGGCGTGGCGCGCTAGGCTAGGCTGGAGACGTCAACAAGCCGCGCTTCTGCTCTTTCGGCTTCATAGGCACCCCAAGCAAACAAACCAAAAGATATTAAAGATAAAAAAAAAACAACTAACCAAGAAATGGAAAACAAAAATAGTTCAAAGCGAAACAAAAATGTTGTGGAATGGCAGTAATTCATATTTCTATGTTCATTGACGCGATATAACTAGGGATGCAAATGTGCTAACCTGCATCCAGCCTTAATTTTGTGGGTCCCGTGAAGCCACAAAATTAAGCGAATTAAGCCTATATGTAGGTTTGCGGGATAGTCCACTTTCATCCCTAAATATAATCATTCATTGTTATTCATCATTTAGTTCAAAGTGAGCGAAAACTCTGTGTACAAAGAACCTTAGCATGGACAAGCCTTTTTTCTAGAACAAGAAAAGGTCAAAGAGTCATCACCACCAACAATACATGACAGTTTCTCTGCCATATCCAAATCCTACAAATAGCATATATCCATAGCAGTGTACCTTGCATTTCCTCCCACAATGTTTTCCTTTGTTCCTGACTACAAATGCAGAACAACCCGTGAGCAAATAACTAGCTAGTCTACACAAGAATAGAATACAACAGAACTGAATACTGCGCTACTCCCTCCGTTCCAAAAGCTATGTATCTAGAAAAGCTGGAACGACTTATAATTTGAAATGGAGGGAGTACATTAGAAGCAAGCACTGCCCTCTTGTTTCTGCCATCCATCATCTACAACCGAGTAGTAAGTTACACTTGCTGACTGCAATATAAAATCGCTCAGCATAGTCTTCTCCTAAAACCCTTGCAAAATATCTACCAGACTTAGTCTTGCTCCACAACCAACTACACCCCAGGCCACCTTGCACATCACAACGCCGCAATAATTTCCTTGGTCCGCGCTTGTGCTCTTTCCTTCTCTTCAGGTCCATCCAAGTCCCCAATGTTGTCATGATACTCCTGCAATGCAAAACCAATAGATGTTACGCCTCCATCATAGTCATTGCTCTTAATGCCATCCCCTCTCACCGAGGTTACCACCAAGCCACATAGAAAAGGTCAACAACAATACAAATTATGGACCATACATAATAGTAGATAATACTACAGAGCAGCAGCACCAATCAAACTAAAGCGGAAGCAAACTAAAACGGCAAACATATGGAGATGAATGGTACACCTCAAGTATGTCCTTCACATCTTGCTTCGTAAGTTTGTTTTGTTTAAGAAGCAATTCTACTCTTGCTCTCATCTGGGAATTCCTGAAAATCAGTGACATGCCATAAGAAAGACGATGACTTTAGAATTGAAATCCAACTATGCAGGACAAAGCGAGGTAACACAGAAAACAAAACAAATATTACTAACCCAGAGTGCCAGATGTGTCCCAGAATAAGCGCAATTAACTGAAACATACACAGACTTAGTTCAGAAACATCATACGACACTACAAATTCATTATGTTTTCTCAGCCAAACCAACACTGGCTGAGAAAACTATATCAGATACAACACTACAAATTCATTATGCCAATACCTGCAGTGTGTAAAGCCCAACTTCAAGTTTTCGGTTATACCGCTCATCATCGTCCATCTGGGAGAAATAGGAACATGTTCAAAAAATTCATTGTTTGCTCGAAATGGATATGGAGATCAAAGAAACAAGGCATAAAAAGGCACCTCTAAATCTTCCAAATCAAGGCTATCAAGTCTTTCAGTCTCTTCTTTCACTCTGTTCGAATACCTGTACAACACAAGTGACCATGCAATCAAGAAATGAAGTAGCCGAAAAGGTAAGGCAATCCTCTTTCTCCACAGCAGATATACCTTGTGTAGAACTCCATCAGACGGTCTATCTTTTCACATTCATTCTCAACAAATTTTCCTAGTAACCTCATCCTTCGTGAGCCTTTGGTAATACCACCTAAAGACAGGTATAAAATAACCAAACATGACAAAATACATAAAACAACTGAATCACAGAAAGAAAGCACTTAATCGCAGCCAGGTACTACTAAAATACAGTATGGGCCAAAGAGATGTTGGGTTGGTCTTACATGATGAGCAACTGAACTTGTGAGAAGCTATCACATGTCATGCAAGAATAATTGTGGCATTCTATCAATTATTTGAGAAACTATTGGATCCACATGTGCAATGGATTCTTCCTGAAGATACTGTTACACAGGTATCATGTATTACTTGGTGAAATCAATATATACAGTTAACTTAAAGCTCTTACATGATGAGCAGCTGAAGGCAGTTTTATTGCCTTAAGGGCATGTGCTCTTGTGGTTTACACCGTTATGTGCATTGAGATTCGTGCACTGCAAAAGATAGACAAAAAAATGTTTCTAAAATTCCTATATTGCATGAATCTCAATGTGCATCTGAAGTTTGAAGATACAAGAGCATATGCCCCTAATGGCATTCACTTTGCCATTGCTGGCTTTCTAGTTAATTACCATAAGGTATTGAGCCCAAATATTTCTATACAGGGTAATCCACAGTTTCCCCTACGAAATTAGTTTGTTTGACTAACATATTTGTAGAATACCTAGGGATTTTTCAACTGATAGAAAAAGAATAAACACATTGATGTTCATTCTTCAAAGTCAGGCTCGTATATGCAGCAACGGGACTTAGAATAAAAATTACCATGGAGAACACATCTGGTCAACACAGAATAATAATATGAAGTGACACACACTAGAGTGGACTTGCCTGCTTACCAAACAATGAAGCAATAAGTGAAATGATACGCTCTTCTAGCTCCTCCTGATAACTCTCTTTCTTGTTTTTCTTGTTCACAGGAATCTGTGGCAGAATTTTAAGTTAATAACAGACTCATTTCAGGAAGCAGATAGATTAATAAGTGGCCGATGAAGTTAGGCCTATTACATAGCACATAGCATAGGAGAGTAAATGGAACGAATATACTGGATCATCTGAAATGTCAGAAAAGACTGGGGAAAGGGTAAGGAGGAAGGTTTACTTGCCTTACCCATGAAGGCCGCAAAAGCAGTCTTAAGGCCAAGCACATCAACAAAACGCTCGCACGCAGGTGGGAACTTGGTCATGGCAAAATCGAGCGTGCGGATCGCGGAGCTGTATGCCAGCTTCTTCTGTTTCATAATGATGATCATGAGCTCAACGCCTTCAGCCTTCACAAACCTCTCCTTGTTCTCCAGGGGCATGAGCACGCAGCAGAGACAGTCGAAGAGGTTCTCGAGCATCTCCTCCTCGTCGGAGGTCTTTGGGTCCCTGGATTTGTACATAGCAACCGCCTGAAGCAGGGCGTCGACTCCGTTGATCTGGCCGAGGCGCTTCTGATTGGCGGGGCTGTTCTGCAGGAGGATGGCGAGTATCTCGGAGGCGTACTGCTTGTTGGCGTCGAACTCGCGTGCCTTGAGGCGCGAGAGGAGCCATCGTAGGAGCTTGGTTCCGTCGCAGACTTTGTCGGCGAGGTTGGGGCGGAGGTCGAGGAGGTTCTCGAGGACGGCGAGGGTGTTGTGGACGGCCTCAGCCTCGTCGGAGTCAGTCTCGGAGAAGCGGGAGAGGTTGTGGACGAGGAGGTCGAGCGCGTTGGCGTCGACGAGCGCGTCGGCGAGGGCCTGGACGGCGGCGAGGTCGGCGGGGTCCTCGGAGTCGGTGAGGTCGGTGAGGAGGGATGCGGCGGCGGCTGCGAGGTCGACATTGTCGTGGGTGAGGAGGGAGGCAAGGGAGGAGGCGAGGCCGATGGGGACGAGGTCGGGGAAGAGCTCGGGCGCACCGGCTAGGAGGCGGAGGCGGTCGGTCTCGGCGTGGAGCGCGATCTCCGAGTCGGCGAAGCGGGCGGGGTCGTCGGGGTACTTCATGCGCGCCTCGAGGTTGTCTCGGAGGCGGCGCTCGAAGGCCAGCAGGAGGCGTTTGGCGGCGCGGAGGTCGAGCACCTCGACAGCGTCGGCGGCGGAGAGGTCGAGCTCCCCGGCGCCGGGGTCGGACTCATCGGGTCGCTTGCGCTTGTGAACGGCGGCGGCGTCGGCGTCCATTGGCTAGGGTTTGCTTTGACGAATGCGGCGGAGGCGGATCGATATGATTGGAGCGGGGGGATATTTAACTTAGAATAAAATACACAACAGTTCTATTAACTTTTTATTACTTGGGTCCAACACCTTTGGAAGTACATATCTAAGTCCTTAAATTTTCTTTTTATGATGTGCACTAGATGCCTATATCATTTGTTTATGTTTTTATTTTATACAAACCTTCTCTCTATTTTTTTTTCTTTCACAAGCATATCCCTCCTGCGGTCCTGCCATCCAGCTCTCCTATGCGCGCACTCATTGGCTCACTGGCCATGCCCTAGCCCCGTAGGCCCTAGCTCGCCGCCAGCTCGCCTCCACGCGCATCGGCCTTGTAGGTTGCTCCGCCTGGCCGAGCGCTTCAAGCTCGCCGCCGCGTGTCCGCACGCCGCCTTGCCACGCCGCGTGCGCCAGCGCTGGTGCCTTGCGTCTCACCTCCCCGCGTCGTCTCAACATGTCGTGCGGCCCTGCGCATGTGCCCAGCGGATTGACCGAGAGCGGTAGCACGGTACCAAGAACTTGGTTCAGAGCGCCGACATGTGGTTGCCATGCATGCACGCTGCCGCCCGTAGCGGGATTAGCCTGTGACCTGCCGGCCGTGGAGAGCGTCGTGTGGACATGGTGACACAAACGCTGCAGGTTTGTTGCAGCACCATGGTCGTGTGAACTCGGTGGCATGGATCAGATCGGAGGTGTCGGAGCGTCGGCGTCCATGGACGTGATTGTCACCGGCACCGGACGATCGGAGAGGTCGAGTATTAGCATCTCTCGTTTGATCTTGAGACTCCAGTTAGTTCATTCAGTTCACTCCGTACCTTGAAACCTTGCATGGCATCGCATTCACGAATTGACTGACTCGGTGTGCAGGCGATCGATGTAGTGCGTCAGCGGTAGCGTCGGCCACGGTCGTCGTGCATGGTCAAGGCTGTTGACGGCGTCGGCGGCACAGCAGACCGCGCAAGGCAAACATGAAGCGCGCGACGCGACAGGAAGGAGAAGCCGAGGCTACGCAAACTGTACATGCCTCTGCTGCAAGCTGTGCGCGCGCAACGCCGGAGAGAGGAGGGTCCGATGACGGTGAGGGGCGGTGCCAACGACGTGTTTGCTGCGAGGAACACTGGTGACTATGCGCATCTTGTTTGTCACGGTTCACGGCGGCGGCGGCAAACAGGGAGCAGCAGGAGGCCTCGGTTGTTGTGCGCGGCGAGGTCCTATGCCGTGGCGACAAAAGGCCTCAGGCGCGGCCGACATCCTGGAGGCGGTGGCGGCGACGCCGAGGCCCATGCCGGCGACCACGGCCTGGCTGTGCATGCGGTTCAACTGGTTCAGTGCCGGCTACAGGATCTCGTAGAGCACTCACCCGATGGCGAGCGCCACCACGAAGAGCAGCAGCTGGCTGCGGTTGTCCATGTCCGCCACACGCTGCGCCCAACGCCGTGTCCAACGACGCCAGCGATGAGAAGAAGGCGCCCGCGAGCGCCGCCAGTGTGGTAGACAATGACGACACGGCCACCACGGTCTTCTTGCCCTGTGCCGGGACGTGCAGCGAGACGTTGCTGGCGACGGTGCTGCCGCTGGTGGACGCCGCTGACTGCGCCACGATCTTGCGGGTTTCAGCAAGGCCATCGTGGCTATGGTCCCCATGGTAGGCAGGTAGGCGAGCGTGCTTGAGACTTGCGAGAGCAGAGATGGCGGTGGCACCTGCTGGCGATAGATGTGAGGTGTGGGTGCGCAGTGCAGTGGCGCCCGACATGGAGGGGCATGCATGTGAAAGAAAAAAATAGAGGGAGGTTTGTGTAAAATAAAAACATAAACAAATGGATATGGACCTCCAGTGTACATCATAATAAGTTTAAGGACCCAAACCTACACTTTGAAAGATGTTGGACCTAAGTGACACAGGACGAGATGTTAATAGACATATGGTGCATTTTACTCTTTAACTTACTGTCATTCTTATCGATGCCACCTCTCCATTTGCCAGCTCTAATTGAACCTATAGAATTGTCATTAAAACAATGAGTTTCATACCTTTTTGCCATTTTTGCTGACGTGGCACGCCACGCGAGCGTGCCAGAGCGGCAGGTCTAGTGGGAGTCGCATAGGAAAAGACATTTTTGCCCCCGCCTCCTTCTGTCTTGTCTTGTGGCCCAACGCGGTCGCTCCTTTGGTCAAACCCATTCGCAGCCAAGAGCCCCTCTCTCCCCTAGTCCCCAGGTGGAGCTGTCCCACGCGGTGGCATGTACACGGACATGGGCTTGGACATGAAGTCCCCACCCATGGCGTCCGACCAGCGCACCTCGCTCGTGTCGTCCACGTAGAAGGACATGGCGGCGGCCGTCCACAGGATGGAGTAGCGGAGGAACTCCCTAGTGGGGTCGAATGGCAGCACGTATCGCTCCTCCCGGCCCCGGCCGACGCAGCCATTGTCGTACACATTGGTCTGCAAGCACCCGCCATGGTTTGCCCCGAATGTTGCCCAGGAACTCGAAGTCCAGCTTGTTGTGCCGCTTCTTGAACGTGTCGCCGGTGGATGCCTGCAGGCAGCATGCAGCAAGGCAGGAAGCATGTAGTCGGAGGGAAGCTTGATGGACGCGCTAAAGAAGCCGTGCTGGTACATACATGGACGAGGAGATGAAACCAGACCCTACAGCAAATTAATCCACCGCAAATGCATTCTCGTTCATCAATCGGATTAATAATTGCTCGCTCATCGGATAGATGTTTTCGAATATGATTGACCAGCAATCCAGCAATCGAATTGTTTATTGCTGAATGCGTTTGACAAAGGCGTGCATGAAAAGTTGGAAACAGACAATCATCGATGCCATGGTCGGCGGAGCGGAGGATGTTGGCATGTTGTCGTGGGAACAACGGCGCATATGCGTCCTCGAACGCCATCGTCGTCACGTTGATCGCCGGGAGCCCGGACACGACCGCCAGATGACGACGGCAGCGCCATCACCACCACCGACGGCGTCAGGCGGCCCATGTCTATACGGACCGGTGCCGCCGCCGCCTCCAGCCGAATGTTTTAGGGCCGCGCCGGCCAACGACTGCAACCACCTGCTCTACACCACGGGCACGCAGTGGCTCATGAGGCGCCGGCCGCAGCCCGCAACTCATCAAGAAGAGCAGCAGCAGCAGCTGGTTCAAGCTGTCGGCCATGCTATCGTCGGCGCGGCTGCGTCCTCCGCCCCGTCTGACGTCGAGGGCCTCGACGAGAACATGTTCACCCCGCCCTGCCGACCAGGACATCGCGACGCGACGACAGACGACTTCAAGTGGCAAATCAACTCCGTGTTCCGCGGCGAGCTCCTCGACCAGAGCACCGTGGCGGTGAAGCGGATGAACGGGCTAGGCACGCAGGGACAACGCGAGTTCCTAGCGGAGATCGCCGCGATCGACAACGTCCACGACGTGAACCTGGTGAAGCTTCGCGGGTTCTAGGCCGAGGGCGCCGGGCGGCAGCTACTGGTGTACGAGTACATGAACCAGTACTTCCTGGACCAGACGCTCCATCCCCTGCGCTGGCGTCGACACGCTGGAGCTGGAGTAGGCGGCCCAGCTACGCGCGTGTGTGGGCATGGCACACGGGCTGGCGTACCTCCACGTTGGTCGAGGGCGAGCGACACCGCGACGAGCGAGTCACCAGCGGGGAGTGGCGTGTGGACGTTGGTGCGACAGGGAGAGAATGGAGACCAACGGGGAAGAGAATGGAGATCGGCGTTGAACGCTGGGGCCACAAAGGCAGAAGGAGGCAAGGGCAAAACGGTTTTTCCTGTGCTAAGTTTGGGCTCCTATGGGCGCTGCCGCGCTGGCAAGCTCACATGGCACGCCACATCATCAAAAGTGGTAAAAACGTAGGAGATCCACTGTTTTGTATGGCAATTCTGTAGGTTCCATTCAAAAGCTGACAATTGGAGAGGTGCCATCCGTAAGGATGGCAATAAGTTAAATATCCCTGGAGCGGAGAACCAAGGAGTCTGCCGGAGCAAGTGCTGTCTGGTCCAAGATTTTTAATTTTGGTATATTGCAAAAAATTTGATCACCACCGAAATTACTGAATTTCACGATATTTTGCCGAAATTTTGGTGAATTTTTTAGAAACTAGCATACGAAGTATATTTTTTCTAAAAAAATTAGATCTAAATAAATGTTAGTATGATTTAGGATTAAGTCCACTTTTGACCCTCAACTATTGTGTTCGTCTGATTTTAACCTCCAACTACAAAACCGTCTAGTGTTGGTACCCTAAACTGTCAAAACCGTTCACTTGTAGCACGTGGGCGCGAAAGAGACGATTTTGTCCGGCGTGAAACGGGTTTGACCATGTCACGCTGGCATTGACCGCCACGTAGGATGCAACCGTGATTAAATTCGGGGAGACTTGTTGCGTCAGCGAGAGTAGCTCCACCCGTGATGCTTGCATCTTGGAGAAGCGCAACCGTCGGCTCACCCGCGCCACCACGCTCAACCGTCGTGGGAGGGATGCCGCCGCGCAAAGGACGCTGCAGCCGACGTGTGAGGAAGGTTGCCGAGACCCGCCATGGCCGACGGGTGCCTACCACCACTAGTGCTGTGGATGAGGTATCACTGCCGCAGGTGCCGTGGATGAGGCGTTACCGCCGCTGACGCCACTGGTGCCATACACGAGGCGTCGCCGATGTAGAACCGAAGACGTCGCAACTGGGAGGTGTGAGGGCGCCATCGTCGTAGCTGAATCCGACGAGGGGACGTCGTGACCAGATCCACCAAGGGGCCTACCGAGGGATGCCGTGCTCGCGGTCGGGCCGCGCCGCCGCCGGAGGGGAGGATGAAGATGCCGTGGGATCCGTAGCCTCCTCGATGGATTCACAAGATACGCCGGCAAGGGAGCTGGGGAAGGCCGACCGCCTGGGCGCCGTGCGCAGGCGCACCTCATTCTAGGCCGCCGCCACCGATGGTACAACGGCTCGACGCCGCAGGTGGATTGGGGGTGGGGAGGGTGGTGCCGTCGCTGAGGAAGGTTAGCGCCGCCGCCGTGGGTGGAGCCATGAGCGCGGGCTAGGCCGCGCCACCGCCGAGGTGCTCCATCCGCGCTGGCCTGGAGCGCCACCTCGACCGCCATCGGGGTAGGGGTCGGGACAGCCGCCGCAGTCTCCGTCGGGGTGGTGGAGGGCCACTGCAGTCGTCGTCGCGATGGGGAAGCCACCGCGTCCGCCTCCACGATGGGGAAGTCGCCTGGGGGCAGAGGATGGAAGCGCCGCCGGTGGGGAAGCCGCCTAGGGGAAGAGGATGAGGCAAGGGGCGCTGCCGGTGTCTGATACAAATGAGAGGAGAGAGAAAAATATTGAACTAGGGTTAGGAAGGTGCTTATACGTGGCATTCAATGCCAGCGTGGCACGGTCAAACCTGTTCCACGCTGGACAAAATCGCCTCTTCCGCGCCTAGGTGCTACAAGTGAACGGTTTTGACAGTTATGGTACCAACATTAGACAGTTTTGTAGTTGGGGGTTAAAATTAGACGAACATGATAGTTGAGGGGCTAAAAGTGGACTTAATCCTATGATTTATGACTACACATCTATTGAATAGAAGAATAAGCAATATAAACAATAGAAAAAGATGAGTCTAGAGTTATATAGCACATGTATTAGTGTATTACAAAATTTCGGATTCTTCTTTCGGCCACCATCAAAATTACCAAATTTCGCGAAATTCGGCCGAAATTTTGAACCCTGGTCTAGTCTGTGTTGCGTTAAGATTCGTGTTTTTTTTTTCATTTTTCCAAACTACTATAAATTTTCGAAGAAAAAACACAAGAGAATAAGGGAATGTTTGGATAAGGGCTAATTGCTAGCTACTCTCTCCATATTCCTAAAGAAAGTCGTTTTGATGTTGTTAAGTCAAACATTTTAAACTGACTACAAATAAATTCTTTTGGATTGAGTTTGAAAATATAAAAGTGATGTAAATAGATTCATTTTAAAATGTAGTTTTATAAAATTATATATTGACCATGTTTTATAAATATTTTATAGCAAAAAATAACGGACATGGAGGGAGCAGCTACTCCTGAGATTAGTCAACATTAGCTCCAGCGTATTTAGACACGAGGTTTAGGGCCTATTTGGATAAGGGATAATCACTAGCTAGCTAAAAATAGTCTAATTTTTTAGATAAGCCTTCAACTAGTTGTTAGCCAACCACAACTATTTTAGACAACTAACCATGTGTATTAAAACATACCTTAATACTGTTTGGTTCGTCTTGCTCGCTCTGTGTCCCGTGTTATGCCTATTAAGATGCTAAGTCTATTAGACGATGCTAAGTCTATTAGACAACAACCATCAGTGCTTAGGCAAAGATTTCCATTTTGGAGAGGAAGAGGAGGCAAGCACAAGAACCATTTGGGAGAGTTAGAGGAGGCAAGCACACGAAGAGATTTAATCCATCATCTAGGATTATAGATCAATCTTTGAAATCAATTAAATTACTACTAGCACAGCTCAGCTCAAGAAAGGGTACAGCAACCTCTGACACAACAAATCGTCACACGAATTACAGTGCCCCAGTTAAGGCCTTGCAAACAATTTCTCACATGCCAGATTGTTCTCTCTCCATTCTCTGATTTTCATACTCTATACTAATATATGATATAGTATATGATAAGAACCATTGCTATATTCCACTTCCACCCACCAGCGTTTTCTTTTCTTCCCAAAAAGTAGAGGTGCAGCATTTAAGTGAACCATGTTCGCTCCAAGTGAAATGGAGAAGCTGCTTTCATATCATACATGATACATCAAGCCATAAGCAGACCATGGGCCTTTTCATTTCCTCCAGAACCATCACAAACACAACAGCAACCTCTAGCCAATGGAATAGAATGCAAGTGAAGCAGGATAAACTTGCTCCTGGTCTAAAAACATCACAGCTACCGAAAACAGGAAAGATAGAAAATTAGCGGGGACCAGATTTGGATCAGATCATCAGCGGCACGATGCAACACTCGCGTTGCGCACAAGTTAATCCAGAAATGCTCTGAACGGTTGGTTGGTTTGTTGGTTGTTGCCTTCACTTCTTGTGCGCCCTGTAGTCTGGGGAGTTGTGGGGCAATGGGGACAGTGGATGCCTTGAAGAATCTGCACAGCCAAAATCAAGAGCTCGGCCAGCGGGGCTGCCAGCCCTCAAGCTAGACGACTTGCGCTTGTTCTGCAACAAAAATAATTCATCACATCATCCCATCACACTTTGCTTCCTCTTAGCCCGCGACAGAATTTGTCAATTTACCTTGGTGGATGTACTGGCAGATTTCTTTCTTTCGGACCGGCGTTGTCGCTCCTTCTCCAGCAAACCCAGCAGCCTTTTGATCTCTTCATCAAGAGCCCTGTTGTCCTCACTTAGCGTGACAACCTTCAAGAACAGCAATCAAGAAAACAATTGATTTGCCTGTCATCAATAGCTAACCAGTCATGTAAAAACACAAGAATCTCAAGGACATGAGTGCTTTTGATATACCTCCGCCTCCGCTGTATCAAGATTCATCTTCAGAATCTCCTTTTCCTTCTGTAGTTCTTGCACTTGAGCCATCAATGCTGCCAACTGCATAACATGTTGGCATTGATCAGGTCAAAGCCAAAGGCAAACACATAATAATAGTACTGGTGAGAGGAATCTAGTAAAACAAATCATCTGATGTTGGTGTATTACGTTACCTATTTACAAACGCATGTGCAGTACAAACTTGAAGGAATTGCAACAATCTATTACTGTATTACGCGAATTTATTGTGACTAGCAAAAACTTGTGAAGGTTGACAAATGGGATCGCGCTTCAAGTTCATGCAAAATGACACCTTTGGAGGATTAAGGACATCCCTGTTTATAGAAACCTAAACCGAAAACCCTGCCCAAAGACGAAATTACAGTAGATACTAGTGTGGTTGGATTGGATTTGTAACGTAAAAGTAATCTCCATACAAGGCAAAACTCGCGGTTCCATCTATATCTATTTTGAATACGGTGACGAAATTACAGTAGATACTAGTGTGATTGGATTGGAATGGATTTGTGATGTAAATGTAATCTCCACACAAGGCAAAACTTGCGGTTTCATGTATATCTATATTTTGAATACCACCAGACAGTGGAAAGCACGGATCTTAAGCAGAGCACCAGTAGTTAGGAAATCAGGAATCAGGAATCAGGAAGGGAAAAAAAGAGAGGAGGAAACTGACATCTGCGTTCTGGTTTAGGCGTGCGCGGAGGTCGTCGTTCTCCCTGGCGAGGTCGTCGCAGGACTCCATGGCGCGCTCGAGGTCCCGCTCGTAGAGCCGGCACTCCTTGCTGCTCTTGTCGGAGAGGTCGGCGTACGCGGCGGCCATGGCCTCCTTTTCCTCGACGCAGCGGCGGAGGCCGGTGGCGTTCATGGCGGCCTCGGCCTGGGGAAGGAGAGGAAGTGGATGACGAATCAAGAGCGAACGGGGGAGAGCAGAGAGAGTCCGTTGTGACTTGTGTACCTTGAGGACGTCGATGCGGCGCTGGGCTGCGCGGAGGTCCTCCTCGAGCGAGAAGACGTGGTCCTGGAGGCGGTGGCGCTGGTCCTCGGAGGCGAGGAGCTTGAGGCGGAGGGAGCGATCGGAGACGGGGAGACCCAGGGAGGCGTGGATGGAGTCGCGCACGTACTCCTCGGCGCCGCCGGGGAGCGGGAGCTGCGTAACCCTAGTATCCTCCGTGTGCGGCGGCGGCGGCTGCGGCGGCGTGGGTCCCATGGCTTCGGTGACGGCACGGCGGCAGGCTCCGGCGCGATGCGATGCGATGCGGGCAGGCTTCCGGGTAGAGGAGAGAGGAAGGAGGAGTCGTCAGTCGTCAGGCCTTGCGATTTGGATTTGAAATTGAATCGAATTGGTTGCGATCCTTCCGTTCCGTTCCGCCGATTGGGGAGAGAACCGTTGGCGTTGGGGGTTGCCGTTGCCGGTTGCGGCTCCACTCCACTCCCCTAACTAGTTGGTCTGGGCCTCCATTCGTTTGCTTCTTCTGCTATCCATACGGCCCAAACAAGGACACTTGTTGGGCAGTTGCTGCCGCAGTTTTTTTTTTTGAGTTAGTTCCTGCCTCAGGCTCGGCGGCGGCAGCAGGCCTGGCACTGGCACTGAGAAGACGTCGTCGATGAAGAAGCCGCTGCTGGACTACCTGCTGGTGCTCAGGTACCGGCCAGGCGACCAGCAGAATAAGCTGCTCATCATCGACACCGTCGGCAATCAGCTGACGAGCCCAATGAAAAAATAAGAGACATAACGAGCATGATTGCATTCAGCGTTAATGTACTCCTTCGGGAGGAAAGAATGCAATTCTCGCTTTCGAGAAGTCAGTTTAAACTTTGACCAATTTATAGCCATGCTTGCCTTGCCTTCTTAGTTCTTACTCTGGTGATCTGATCTGGTACTCTGGTGTGTATATATAAAGATAACAAAGAGATGGAGCAAGCATCATTGCGATTACATTGCCTCCTCCCGGCACTAGTAGATTGCTAGAAGAGAGGAGAGGAGATGATGAGGCGGTCGGACAGCATCGCGGACATGATGCCCGAGGCGCTGCGTCAGAGCCGGTACCACATGAAGCGCTGCTTCCAGCGGTACGTGTCCCAGGGCACCAGGCTCATGAAGCAGCAGCATCTCCTGGAGGAGCTCCACGGCGGTGGCGGCTCGGCGGCGGTGGACAACAAGGACAGCAGCAGGCTGGCCGACGGTTTCCTCGGCCACGTCATCTCCTGCACGCATGAGGCCGTGGTGCTCCCTCCCTACGTGGCCCTGGCCATGCGGAGGAACCCTGGCGTCCGGGAGTACATCACCGTCCACTCCGGCGACCTCACCGTCCAGCAGATCACGCCCTCCGACTACCTCAAGCGCAAGGAAATCCTATTCGACAACCATTGGGCGCCCTGGACCTCTCCACGCCTCGCCTCACGCTGCCTTCCTCCATCGGCAACGGCATGCACTTGGTCTCCAGATTCCTGCCCTCCAGGCTCGGCGGCGGCAGCAGGCCTGGCACTGGCACTGCCACGGAGAAGACGTCGTCGATGAAGAAGCCGCTGCTGGACTACCTGCTGGTGCTCAGGTACCGGCCAGGCGACCAGCAGAATAAGCTGCTCATCATCGACACCGTCGGCAAGCTCCAGGCGGCGCTGCTCCTCGCCCAGGCCTTCGTCTCCGAGCAGCACCCGGACACGCCGTACCAGCAGATGGCGCACAGGCTCCAGGAGTGGGGGCTGGAGAAAGGATGGGGCGACACCCCCGAGGCGTGCGGCCAGACGCTCGCCTGCCTCTCCGAGGTGCTCCAGGCGCCGGACCCTGCCAGCATAGACAGGTTCTTCAGCAGGGTGCCGTCGGTGTTCGACGTCGTCATCTTCTCCGTCTACGGCTACTTCGGGCAGCAGCAGGTCCTGGGGATGCCCGACACCGGCGACCAGGTCGTGTACATCCTGGACCAAGTCAGAGCGCTTGAGGAGCTTCTTCAGAGAATCAAAGGGCAGGGCCTCACTTTCACGCCCAATATATATTTAATAAGTTATTTCTGTACCACCTCCATTTACGATAATTTTATATACTAATTTATTTACGATAATATTAATACATATTTATGATAGTAGGGTTACTATAACATATGGAGATATTTACCATAACATTAGTAGGGAGTTACTATAATATCGTAAATTAACATAGTAATTATCGTAATTCAAAGTGGCTATAGAATAAGTTATTTTGTAGACAGCTACAGGATAGTAGTTATATATATATATATATATATATATATATATATAAGACTTATAGATTTGAGGGGGTCACGTCGTGGTTACTGTTCAGCCGGCGCACCTCTCACAGATCGATGTAGATGAACAGTATCCGACCCGTTAAGTAACAGTACCACCTTCTTTTTATCGGATCCGCGATGAACAGTTCCCACCGATAATGAACAGTGCCTTTTCCTTAATTTTCCCCCCCTTTCCTCTCCTTCCACGCTAGTATATATATATATATAGACACACACACTGTGGTACCACTCACCATGCCCATTGCTGCAACTCACAAGGCTCATACCAGAAGCAAAGGGCACAAGGCACTCCAGCATCCTCCGTGTGCCATTCAAGACCCAGGATGGCCAGGATATGCCCCACTGGGTCTCCCGCTTCGACATTTACCCTTACCTAGAGAGATACGCCCAGGTTTGCATCTCTTGTATATGTATTATTACTGCTAGTATTATGATATATACTGACATGGCATGAAACTTCAGGATTCCTGTGCCAAGATCCTAGATATATTGGGGCGCAAACCAGACCTGGTCATCGGCAATTACACTGATGGCAACTTAGTAGCTTACCTCGTGTCAAGGAAGCTAGGAGTTAGCCAGGTGAAAATCCCGCCATTACAGTATACTATTAATCATGCAATGCAATGCAAGGCAGAACCTTCTCCTGGTGGTACTGGTACTAATCAAGTAAAATCCGACAAAAACAAAAATTATCATATATCCATCAATGTAACAGGGGACGATCGCGCATGCTCTCGAGAAGACGAAGTATGAGGATTCCGATGTCAAGTGGAGAGAAATGGACCACAAGTATCATTTCTCGTGCCAGTTTACTGCTGATATGATCGCGATGAACACCAGCGACTTCATCATCGCTAGCACCTACCAAGAAATAGCCGGAAGGTCAGCCATCGCCTAACTAAATTCCTCTTGTGTGCCCTGTGCTTTGCTTTGCTTGGGCAATGTCATGCTACTTACTACTACTTATCAAACTATTTTTGCAATGACACCACACCATGCAGCAAAGACAAGCCTGGCCAGTATGAGAGCCACTAAGCGTTCACAATGCCAGGGCTCTGCCGCTTCGCTACAGGCATCAATGTCTTTGACCCCAAGTTCAATATCGCTGCCCCTGGCGCAGATCAATTAGTTTATTTCCCATTCACACTAAATCACAAGCGCCTCACAGACTTGCACCCACAGATCGAGGCGCTAGTCTACGGCAAAGAGGAAAATGATGAGCACATGTAAGTACATGCATTCAGGCTTGTTTTTCTTTGACTTTTGGCGAAATCGTGCTTATGGTTCTCAACTGTGTGATATGATGCAAGCAGAGGCTACCTGGAAAACAGGAGCAAGCCGGTCATATTTTCAATGGCAGGGCTTGACAAGGTGAAGAACATCACTGGGCTGGTTGAATGGTATGGTCAGGACAAGAGGCTCAGGGACCTTGTCAACCTAGTAGTCGTGGGAGGGCTCCTGGACCCCACGCAATCCAAGGACAGGGAGGAGATCGAGGAGATAAACAAGATGCACAGTTTGATCAACAAGTACCAGCTCAAGGGGCAGATCCGCTGGATAAAAGCCCAGACAGACCGTGTCCGCAATGGGGAACTTTACCGTTGCATAGCAGATACCAGGGGAGCCTTTGTTCAGGTACTCAAGAGTTACGATATACATATCCAGGAGAGATGCTAGTAATGAAACTAGATGCTATTCTATCAAAATAATGAAACTAGGTGCTAATCTAGCCATCCAATGCTGTGCCTTTCAGACTGCGCTCTATGAAGCGTTCGGACTAACTGTCATCGAGGCAATGAACTGTGGACTGCCAACCTTTGCAACAAATCAGGGAGGCCCCGCATAAATCATCGTCAATGAGGTCTCAGGTTTCCATATCAACCCACTTGATGGCAAAGAGGCAAGCAACAAGATTGCCAACTTCTTCCAGAAATGCAACGAAGATCCCATGTACTGGAACAGAATGTCCACCACTGGACTGCAACGCATCTACGAATGGTAACATATCTCCAGTAGTCATCCAAGGAACAAAACGCCCACCAATTGTGTGTGACATTTGTCTTGTCTTTGATTGTAGCTACACCTGGCAGATATATGCAACCAAAGTTCTGAACATGGGGTCAATGTATGGCTTCTGGAGGACTCTGGACAAAGAAGAGAAGCAGGCCAAACAGCAGTACCTACAGATGTTCTACAACCTTCATTTCAGGAAGCTGGTGAGTCGAGGATCAGTACTAGCTGGAGTAGGATTCTCATTGTGTTTTGAAGGAAACTACGTACAGTACCTCAAGAGTGCAAAATTTTAACTTTATTGATGTTTTTAGGCAAATGCGGTGCCGAAAGTGGGCGAACAACTTAGCAAGCTACGGCAGTGACATTGCCTGATAGGTCGGCACCAAGGCCAAAAGAAAGGCAAGTGTGTCCACTCTTAAGAAATTTACTGAAGATAAAGTGGGGAAGCAACTGAACTGACTGACTGGTGGTTTGTTATGCAGAAGGACGCAGATAAGGATTCAGAGGTGAGAGCTTATCATGCTGCATCTGCAAAGCACAATTATTTGATTGAATTAATAATCCATGGTAAAATCTGTGTCTGTCTGAACTCTGAACTCTGCAGAATTGCGAGCAACTTACTTGGACCTGTGCTGCCAGCCTCTCATCTCTCGGATGCTGCTTGAAGTGAGGGGCTGTCGGCTGTCCAGACCAAAGCCAGATGTGTGACCGTGTGATAATTTGTTTCCTCCTTTTTCTCTTAACTGTCATTGACTGGGAAAGATGTAAATGGAAAATAAGTAAATAAATAAAATCGCGGTGTCCATGATGATTGTGAAAGCAATACGTACTGACCAGAGTTGCATGCTGCCCGTAACATGAACCATCACCAACCTGGCATAAGTGATACCAGAGTCAGCTACTTGCCTATTAAGATTGAGGATCACGTAATGCAGTGTTCAGATTGATACTGAAATCCACAGGATATATTTCCTTTTTTTTTAATTACCACTACAGGCTCCCACAGGTGACAGGACTCCGAAGCACCTGCATGAACAGCTCCAGATAACCAAACGGAGATACCATTTCCTTATTCCTTCACACGACACAGATGGAATTACTCACACACAACCGAGGGTATTACTATGTTACAGCGTGCATACATGATCCGTGGCGACAATAGCATGAGTGCATACATGTGGTGCTTGAGGAAGAAACGTAGACCAGTACAGTAAATGGTAACAGTACAGCCCCCAAAGGGCGTGTTTGGGACCACGGTTACCCACCGCGCGGTGCGGTACGTGTATCGCGGCGCGAGGGCCGCGGTGCCGAAAACGCAGGCGCTAGTTCATTTGTGCAGTTTCGATGCCGTGTGCGAGGAAAACAATCATCGCACCGTGGGAGCGTTTGGCGCGATTCTCGGATTGTTTTCACCTCCGCCGCAAGAAACGCGGTCCCAAACACGCCCAAAGTAGCAGCTGCCAGATTATTACGATCTCCAAACATATTTACAAGTGAGGGTACCATAAGCGCCCCAGCCTAGCGTCAGCAGTAGAACATGACCCTCTTTACGTCAGCAGTAGAACATGACCCTCTTTACGTTATCCTTCAGAGCTGGAAGTGGCCTAACAGCTGCACCACCAGGGCCCCGAGTGCAATGGGATGCTGACTGAGGTCCACGGCCTGCAGGACCACTAGCCACCGAACCACTGTCAGAAGTCTCTGGTTCCATGTAAAAACGAGCCCTGAAGGCAGCCAGGTGAGCATAATACGCTGGTGGAACTGCAAATGGAAAAAAAAAAAAGGGATTTTAGTCACGAAGCAAGCCAGTGGCACAACTGCCAAAACAATCCCTGGAAGAGGGGATAGCTTACCGATACAGAGCGGGTGCACCTTGCATAACTGCACGTATGATGCGAGTTAGAAAAATAGCATTCAAAAAGAAAATTTCACCAGAGAAATAGGCACTTACGTGTAACAGAGGTTGTTTGTAAGAGCCTGCAACTCATCAGCAGAGAAGTTGTTTTCATCCCACAAGACATGATAATGAGCTGGACGGCTAGTGCCCTATATATACATGGGGTAGGTAAATGATGACTTGTTCGTTAGATAGAATGACACTATCTGACAAGCCAGATGCAAGCAAATCATGGTCTGTACCTTAGGCCCCGTTTAGTTCCAACCCAAAAACCAAAAATTTTCAAGATTCCCTGTCACATCGAATCTTGCAAGACATGCAAAATGGAATCAATTGTCTGTTCATACCTTTTTGCCAAATAGTCATAATTGGACAATTTTTACAAATAACAACGAAAGTGCTAGAAGCCAAAATTTTCAACTAAACGTAATGGATGGCTACACAAGTAGAAGTCAAATTCAGTAGGATGGCAGATCTTCGAATCTACAACAGTACCTTTCAAAAGGTACAGCATGGCAGAAGTCATTTTTTAGATAATAAGCAGCAGTAACAAACATCAGTATTACTCCCGTCCATCCTGTAATACAAGACATTCCAAAAAATTTAAGACAACTTAAGGGAATCCTCAAATGATGCACGTACCTATGGATTAAACCCAATGAAGGAGTTTCTCCTCAAATCATGGTTTTTTTTAACAAACTATGCTAAATCTGAACATGGGCACCACGTAGAATGCCTTATATTTCAGTACAAATTTTGAAAGTCATAATGACTTGCATTCAGGGACGGAGGGAGTAACATAGTAATATTAATTACGAGGTACAAGGTAATGTTAATATTACCTGGGAGTATGTTTCCACTCCTGTCAATTGAATTCTGATCATTGTGGTTGTGAGCAAATAATCTAGTATGATGGCGCTTCTGAACCACAACAAAAGTCACCTTTGGTTGGTAGTTCGCTTCCAGGGAGGCACAGGCCTGAGTGACACATGGAGATCATGCTTAGTGGTAGCATCCACATATGCTCATGCGGTTTGGTCAAATACTTACCTTTCGGATTGCATTGAGCTCATACAACAGAACTTGATAAAATTGTCCTTCACTGACACCATCCCTGACAAGGAGAAAGAAGATTAAGCTGTAGAGAAAGCAGAAAGCACTAGTACAGGTATTCACTTTGACAGCACAAACCTGTAAAATATTATTCGCTGGGGCTTCTGACCAGTTGATTTTTTGAAGGATACAAGTAGCTCCCTGCAATTTTTTCATGTAACAAATTATTTGCCATTGAAGAAAGAAAGGTTGAAAAATGTATCACTGAATCGCTGCATGTTCCTTTCATTCTTAAGGAAAGAAAAGTTGAAATAATGAGCAGTGCACCTTATCATTCCAATCTTACTGTCCCTCTCTGTGGATCTTGCCAGACCTTATACAAATCCTCTATCAACTCTTGCCGATGAGCTTGAGCAGAAACTAGTCCAGCATACTTTGTCACCTCTGGCCAATCTTGGGAGGCCACAACCTACAGATAAAGTTGCTTGTTAAAAAATTAAGTAACCCTTCCCAAAGTAAAAGTGAAGACTCAAGAACAGATCATTAATCACTAAAGCTAAAACAGTGTGTTGTTATTCTACTTACAGCAGCAATTGAGGGACTACTGTCCTCACCAGGAGGAGGATGAGTCACATCAGCACCAAATATGATTGTAGGTCGATCAGTTACCAGAGGAATTCGCCTTGAGACAGCATCTACCAGCATGGTGTTCCTGCCCCCAACCTTTGCCAAATTAAAGGATGTCAACTTGACAAACACAGAAGAAAGGCAAATTGTAAACAAAACGCAAAAGTGGAGGGTACTGGGCACTGAACCTTGACATTAATCTTCAGAGCAAGATTTGCAAGAATTTGTTTGTTCATTTTGAAAACCTGCTTTGTGCAACAGCACTGTGAAACTATCCCAAGATCTATTTCACAGACACGCTTCAAATCACCTAGCATCAGCAAGGAGACAAGTAATGTCAACAGATAACTCCATAATAATAATCATGAGAATCCAACAACACCACAGGCATCAATTGGAAGAACTAGAAGTTAGAAGGGCCAGGTTCACATACCATAAAGTGAGCCATTGTTGTCAGGTAGTATTCCAATAAGTAAATCAAGTTCCTTGTGTTTGGGTCCAAGAACGTTCATGGCATCATGGTACCTAGCTTTCAGAGCTCACTCCACTTGATCAGGACGTGCATATAGAGGTGGAAGAACAGGCTCCCGAGCGAAATCCTATCATGATTATGCATGATAATATTACTGTTGTAAACAGGTGGATGAAGTACAGATCCTAATATTCATGTTGGTGCTTTTGCTTTTATATAAGGATCTTGAGGTGCTTCTGTGATGTCAATAAGCAAGTTTTGCAGGAACTGTGTCAAGAATACTTGCCATTCCTGACGCATGGCGCATCAGTGCAAGTTCATGACAGAACCCAAGAACAACACTGTCTTGCACATTGCGAGCAAAATTGACACATATCCAACTTCTGACCTTACCACCATCTACCATTTTCTGGGCACAGGAAAGTAATAAAAGAATAGTAAATATCCATGCACAATAAACAAATACACTATGTCTCCTTGATTAATGAAACCTAAAAGCCAGTGTTTGAAATCAGTTTTGAACTGGATAATGCTGATTATAAAATGCAACTATATGGGATGCAACATAATAATCTGCAGCATTATTTGTTGTTGCCCATCTGAGTTATATATTGTGACAGTATGGTTTTCTGACTAGCATATTTCATCAATCCAAGGTGAGTGTGTTTTGCAAATCTTTATTACTATAAAAACACGGTGGTATAGTGGGTGGTTCTACATAAGGATCTTCTATGCAACGATCTGTCTTATGTGTGTGCCAGACACTATATAGGTGGCCTTCTACTTTGTACCTATGAGGTTTCTTTGTGTTTTAACTATACATAATTCAATTGTTAGAGCCTAGACCATTAAATACTTTTTACTGGAAATCCATTACAACATAGACGCAACAAGCTAAATAAAGATAAAAGTACACCATTCTCAGGAGCAGCAGAGGTCAGTTCCTAACTGAAAGACCTATTCATTGTATAGCTTGATATTATCACAGATGGTGTCATGCAAGGCACAAGGGGAGGCATGATTACTGTAAAAGCAGCCGTGCGGCGAAATAGCACTTGTACAGTACCGGTCAGAGTTAGGACAGTAAGAATCAAATAGGTGGTAGAATATTGTCTGTCTCCCCACCTCTACTTGCTCTCCTATTCTACTGTGGGCATCGGGCTCATAATAATAAGGTGAGTAAAGTTTGTAAGAACTAAAGAAAGTCCATGCAGTTACCTTGTTCATCATATTCCACTGACCAACCCTAGGTAAGCAGTCCTTCTCTCGACCAGTCTCATTGTACTTAAGCTGCATTAAGTGAAAATACAGAAAAAGGTTTGTTAATACAGCCATATATTTACAAGGTAAGCATCTTTATGCATCCAGCTTTGTGATACTCTACATCCAGTGCAAGAGAGAATATTCCATTGCTTACAGCACTTGTGCTGCTGAGAGCATGACTAAAGGTAATGCAGAGAAAGGTCAAAACAGACAGAAATGGGTTCAGCCTACCCATGGAGCTGGCAAAATCCGTGCCTCAACTGATGCCAGACGATCGCTAATCTTAATGCCAAACTCTTGTGCATAATCATCCTTGTCATAGGCATTCTGTTTAACCATCTGTTCACCCAAGATAGCATTACAATGAAAGATCTCAACTGGCACAGGCAATTGTTGAAATTTCAAAGTCATATGAAACCATTTGAAATAATAAGATACATGCCCGAATTATATCACGCTCACGATCGCGTGGGTGCTGGCATGTCTCCTCCAAAAGAGCTCTGATCTGATTCTGGTTTAATCTCTTGGAGTACCTCTGCCTCTCCACTATTTTGCAGACCTGAATAAAGTCAAACTCTACAATTTTAAAAAAAATCTCGGGAAGAATCCAAGAATAATAATAACTGCAAGATTTGGTAAAAAAGAGTTAAACATGGAAATTTGGAGGTGTAGTAGTTTTTCAGGATTCAAAACAAGGAAGAAAGGATACCACTGTTTCACAATCTCACCTCCATTGGCAAGTAATTTGGACGCTGTTGATTGCCAACTTGAAGGCAAGGAAGGTAGGTGTGTTGGATGGCAAAGCCATATGTCTCTTGAAAGTATTGTACAACTGACTTTATTGTACCCCCTTCATCAACAGGAAAGCTGTGGCACGAAGAACATGAATCTTTTATAGGAAAATTTAACTAGCATTTTAAATGCTTTTTGAAACGAAGAGAGAAACTTGCATACGTTAACTCTCGAGTCGCCTGAGTTGTTAACCCAGATATTCGATACTTTCTCCGCATGTTTCCACGATGAGTAACTTCCACCTTAACTCCTCTCAAGGCTTTCTTGATCTAGGGTGTGAACATAAAAGGAATATTTAAGCTAAATTGTTTAAAATATGCACATCAGAAAGGACCTTGTGCTAAACATGGAAAAAGAAGAAGAAAAGGTACAAACTCTCATACCAGTGTTTTTATTTATCGATTGCAGACATACTTTTTTTCCTTTGAAAGAAGTTTTCTTCTTTTTTTGTGGAATGGCTGAGTGTGGGAGATAAAATGCATTTGGCAGGACAACATGCTGATCTAGTGATCTAGAATCCAAATATGCAGCTATCACATAGTTTATTGCATTATAGTTCAAGCGTTGTGAGCCATAAGTATTGTTGCAGTTTCACCTATATTTTTTCTGCAGGACATGATTATGCAATATGTGGCATACAGCAAGAAAACTATAAAATCATCATAATCCTTGTTCTGCTAATAACTTTACAGAGTATAACCTCTGTTCTTTAATAATATATGTTGTACAGTTCAAAATTGAACAAGTCAACATCATATATTAAAGAATCGAGAGAGTACTATTTTTTTAACATACCCTGATTCTGGTTACAAAAAGTTAAAACACAACTAATGACTTTCTATTAATACTCTTAAGGAAAAACAATATGAAAGATTATACTATATGTAAACCTCAAGAAACAACCCAAAAAAAAACAGAGCACTGTTTTCTCCTGGATATACCCCAATTTCCATTGCACCAAAAAGGAAATGCATAGATTACGTTCATGCATTGCTTATTTTTTATGTCCAAACAGTGCTCTTGGACATGATTATGCACATATTATACATTTTTATCTTCAAGGCAATACATGGTGCAATGGTGAGAGCTGTCTCACTGAGTCACCAGGTCGTGGGTTCGAAGCAGCCTCTCCGCACATTTTGCGGGGGGGGGAAGGCTTGCCTCGGTTTTTCCCTTCCCCAGACCCCACTCATGTGGGAGCCTCCGGCACTGGGTCTGCCCTTTACAAAGATCAGAGTAGCGCAGCGGAAGCGTGGTGGGCCCATAACCCACAGGTCCCAAGATCGAAACCTGGCTCTGATATGTTTTTGTCTTTTCGAGTCGCAGTCTCCTCGCATTGCACAGGCGAGGGTAAGGCTCGCCACTGACACCCTTCCCGCCTTCCCCAGACCCCACTCATGTGGGAGCCTCTCAGACCTGGTCGCCCTTTACTTCCTCGAGATGAAATATCAGGAAAAGGTTAGTTCACTGAGAACACCTTCACCCGTTCCACGTCTGAGAGTGGCCTAGAGTGAATTTCACAATTCAGCAACTGTGCAACAAATTCAATTACAGGCAATGGCTCAATGAAAGCTGTCGCTGACATATCTGAAAAGTCACAGAAAGTAAAATTAAAATCCAGGAGATATATGCCTTTAATATGGATAAGAAATCATCAGTGGTGTTGAAGACTTCAAGTGTGTTAGCCTCAAATGAGAAAAAACAATGATTAAAACCATGCAGTAATAAGGAAAGACAAAACATGTGCAAATTTACTACCGAGGGGATGGGGAATTCATATTACCAATGTTGAGTGACAAGCCCATTTGAGTAGGACGAATGCTCTGGTAAAATCCACGCCAGCTTTCTAATCCATCACCAAGGGGCTGCCTTCGGCCCAAGTCAGGCGAAAAGAACAACCGGCCAAATGGTGCGTACCTGTGGGGAAACAATTTGAGAAATATCAAGATTCACTTCTCGCTTCACTGCTCCTAGTTATAATGACGGTGGAAATTCATTGCTACCTTGGCCTTGATGAAGGCAGTTCCCGCAGCACAATATCCAGAACCTGCAATGCCTCTTGAGGAGCTTCTGCATGCCTCCCAGCTAAAAACAGCTCGAGGCGGCGGAGGTCAGCTCGTGCGGCAAATTTAATTACTACTTTAAAATTCCTACGTCGCCTAGATCAAAGCAAAGCAAAGCACATAGTGGAGAAACAATGAAATGTTGAAAACATAATCATGAATCTGCATGACAGGGAGGAAAAACATCTTATCTTGATGAGGAAAATGTGAGCAGCAGACCTCTCAGAACCAGGGCCACCATCATCGTCAAATAAAGTGATATGAAATTCCTGTGAAGTAAACGGCAGTGGGCCGGCTGTGTACAGGCTCTTCCTACCATCATAAGCCGGTAGCCTCCCACCCAAGTAAGAATGCTTGTAGAGATTGACCAGCTCCTTGATTATGGCTCGACTAACAACCCTTGAGGTAACTTCCGGTGTGATTGAGACCTGTCCAAGACAAATGAGATTACGATACGGCATCAAGGATAAGGGGTATAAGATAAGAAATGTAAATGGTGTGCAATGCAAGTTGGAGAAATCTGAACGCACATCATAGTGATGAAGATCCTTGTCTGGCAGCTCAGCAAAGAAATGGTTGGCCTTAACCAGGCACCTGGTGCCAATACTGCCCTTTCCTGGGCGCAAAGGAAACCTGAATGACTTGCTTGATTGTGGAGGTGCAGTAGGCACAATCTCCTGGCCTGCAGTGGGCTCAGCTGGTCCGTGCTCCTCTCTAGGCTGAACAGGCGGGGGAGCCTCTGGCGATGGCTGCGAAGGACCTGCCTCCTGCACTGGTGGCGCTTGTGGTGCGAGCTCACGAGGAGCCTCCTCCATTGCTTGGCGCAGCTCGGGAGCTAAAGGGCTGCTGGATGACGAGGCAGCCCCCTGTAGAGGTGTAGCACCACGTGGGTACTGTTGTGGGCGCCCCGCTCCACTCCCGCCACGAGCGTGGCCGCCCCTCCTGGCTGCTGCTGCTGCTGGGCCTCGTCAACACGAGACGTGCGGCCTCCACCTCGCCCCTGCTGCTGGATCCCTCCACGACCTCCTCCTCCTCTTCCTGCAGGCTGCGGAGGCTGCTGAGCACGAGCAGCGCCTCTTCCGCCCGGCTGCGGAAGCTGCGCGGCATGGCCAGCACCAGGATGTTGCCTCCCCCTCCTCGACCCCATGCCAGGGTTTGGGCTGCAAGAGAGAGTTAGAGAAGATGAGTACGAGTTGCTGCGGAGGAAATCCCCTCGCCTGGCCCCCTAGGTATCGGCGGAAATGGCGACAAAATAGGTAGCGGGAATGGAGGCGTCGGAAGCGGATCGATCGGTTACCTTAGGTAGCGGAGCAGGGGGAGGGGCGCGACGCGAATCCGATCGGCAATGGGGAACTGGGAAAGCGAGCACGGCCACGGCCGAGTGGGGGAGAAGGGGATTGCGCTGCGGTTGCAGAGCAGGGAGGAAGCACCCGAGGAAGAAAGGAAAATGACAGGAAAGAGCCTTCTACCGTGTGCCATTATAACAAATCGATATTACCAGTAAATTATCGAAAAAACGAAAAGTTCTCCGCTATCGTTGCATGAAATTTTCTTTCCCTACGTAACATATCTGTCCATTTTATCTGTAACAGCAGCTAACGCCAGGTGGAAATGACTCTTTTACTCTTAGAGCATCTTCAAAAGACTCTCCATATCATTTTTAATTGATAGGAATAGAGATTTTGGTGAAAAATTAACCTCCAACAGCTTTTCTAAATGATCATCCAAATATAGTCCCGTCAAATTTTGGCCACTAAAGTTGTGAGAGAAAACATTGTTAATTTGAATAGATGAATAGTGTCAGTGTCGTGTTAATACCAAAACACCACCATAGCTATCTTTTATTCTAGATTTTTCGCTAGCCAAAAATAGAAAACGAGAATAGCTCTTTAAAGTGCGCATGAGATATGGAAAAACTGTTGGAGACTGAAAAGATATAGAAAGCGATTTTTATGTAAATGACTCTCCAAATGATGATTTAGATAGTGAGATTTAGAAAGGCTCTTGAAGATGCTCTTAGTTGTGGTATCATCAAATTTTCCAAATTTTCTCTAAAGGCAGTGCAGTGTTGTAAAAAACTTCACTTTTCCTCTATATCACTATGACAACATGTGTATATGTACATAAAAACTCAAATAAATATAAAATCGACAATTATGACGACCAATAAATATAAACTCTTACAATTACGACAACCAATACATATAAATTAGACAATTGCGATAACCAATAAATATAACAATTGCGACAATTTCAATAAATAAAAATTCGATAATTGCGACAACCATAATACATTCAGACATAAACGAGGTCTAAAATTATCATCCACATACATAGTCAGCTTGATTACAAAGTACAATTTAAAGATAAAAAATGGTCACATTAACATCATTACTAGTTTTACCTCAAGTACTAGAAAACAATATGCCATAGAGATGCAAATTCATCAAATATCAAGTTTTTTCTTGCTTCTAGTTCCTATGGCCGGACTAGAAGGGGAACTAGGGACCTTGCTGCGGGTTGACATGGCTGGACTAGCCTTGTTTGGAGTCGTTTTTTTTGGAATGGCCCTCTTCTTCTTGTCCTGCTACTGACTTGCGCTCTTATCAGCTACGTGTGCTGCTCACTTGATCCTGAAGGGTAAGTAATCGCCAAAGGATCTAGATGATTCGATCATGTCTCTAGATCCTCCGAAAAAAGGAGACGTGAGTAAAAATAGTTAGTTAATCTATTAAAGTGGTGAAAAGATAATTATAGGAAATTAGCTTACCTCACAGAAGGGTCACTAGCCTCAGTAGTTGAAGTATTGGAAGTACTCTTTTGTTTCTTCGCAACAGTTGATGAGGATGATTTGTTCTTCCGTTTCTTTGATAAATCCGCAACAGTAGGTAGAACTGGAAAGAGCATCCTTTGTGCAAGTGCTGCAGGCACAATGCTGGTCTCAGTAGTAGTTGGTGATATCTTCTTTTTTTTTTAGGTGGACCTCTATGTGGACATATATGTTAGCAACAATGTAAACATGTAAAAATAATTATAAAGTTTAGGTTCTATGTTACCTTTCAGCAAGCATTGCTGCTATGTCTGCTGGGTCACCATCCTTACAAGTGTACCAATGATGTCCATATTGCTAATAGATTGGATACTGATGCGTACCCTTGGCTTCTTTACTGCTACCCTCTACTGCTCCCTTGTATCTTTTTTGCCTTCTCCTACCAGCTGTTGGCTTCAACAATGGAGGATGCATGAAGAAACCATGTTCTACTTTGGACTACATGGATTTGTCTAGTATAGCAAAGGATTCTACCATCATAGGCAGCCCTGAAGCTCTCTACATAGTAGTAATTGTCCACATGATCTTCTATCTTCTCTCCAGGTATAGAGGTGATGAAGGCAATTGCATGCTTACATAGTAATCCAGAAACTTGCCATGCTCTGCATGAGCATGTCCTTTCCTGTAGGTTGACAACAAACCCGTAACTAGAACCTCCTCTTGCCATAACTTCTACAATCCCATCAAGTGAGCTAGTGACAACATCAATGTCAAGGTTCCTACCTTGCTCCTTTAGCTTAGTTATGATGTGTGGCAAAAAATTTCTTTCCATTTTATTTGCAATTTTGTTCCTCTGGTCCCACTTGATAAGAAGCTTCTATCTTATAGTATCCATCAAGTCATCTAGATGCATCCCCTTATTATTTTTTATCCAATTGTTGAAGCTTTCTACTAAATTATTGGTGACGTAGTCAACTTTTGGCAATGTAGAGTATTGACTTCTTGTCCGTAGTTTTGTATGGTTTTGCTGCAAGTACAATATTGCTGCTGGATTTGTTGCAGTCATGGCCTGGATATGTTTTTCAAACATATATGAATTCCAAGAATAAGCATAAGCCCACAAATGTTCATCAAACACTTTCCCACTGTACCTTTTTTTAAAATCCTGCACTAAGTGCCACATGCACTCTCTATGCTCTGCATTTGGGAATACCTCACTAACTCTTGTCATGACTGCCTGACCATAATCTGTGCAAAAGGTCAGACCATGTGGGGTACCTATAGCTTCTTTAAGCCTCTCCATGAATCAAATTCAGTTTTCATTGGTTTCAGAATTAATGACTCCTATTGCAACCGGGTACATCCAGTTATGCCCATCAACTGCACAAGCAATACATAACAGACCTCTAAAATTTCCAGTCAAGAATGTACTATCAACAGCCAAATAAGGCCTGCAACCTCGAAGGAAACCTTCAACATAAGGTTTCATTGCAAAAAATGACAACACAGCTGTCAGAACAGGATTGTTCTATCTGTGCCTTAAACCTGTACAAGTTGTCAAAACTTCCTTTTCAGTTACCATACAACTCCTCCATAGCAAATTCCTTTCCATCATACACTCTCTTGTAACTGATAGTGACTTTGTAATCATCCTTCAGTCTTCTCTGAAGTTTTGTAGGCCCAACAGTTGGGTCCTCAACTAACCAATCCTTAATCTTCTCAGAAATCCAAAACTTGGTTGCACCCTTCACTTTCCCACTCCTAGTACTATGACAGACATGAGGAGAAGGGTTCTTCTTGACCTACAAAGTTTAATTTGAAACAGAAAAAATAATTCAGAAATATAAACAAAATATTAGTGATAAAATATAAACAAAATATGAACAATGATATTACCTGTACAGTAATATTATCGCCTATTGTCGATGCATAAATCCTCCACTTACAACCATCTACCAATCCTGTGCAGTATACCCGATACATCTTTGGTTCACTCTTTTCAATGTTATACTCAAATTCATTCTTGATAGCATGTGTTGCAAGAGCCAACTTAAATTCATGCATGTTTGCATAGATGCTCTCTTCTTTCATAGGAGGATCATCTTTGTTGTATGCAACATCAGGGATGTGAGATGGCACTCTATCCTTAACAATCTCATCTACCTCAGCATCTATATCGAAGTCAGACATAGAATCAGATTCAGAGTTTGAACCTGGATCATAATCTTCATCCTTTTTTCAGTTGTGTCAACATTTGCATGAGAAGCAGGTGCTATGTAAATATATAAACCCTCCTCATTAACCCCCACATGTTCATTCTCTGGTTCAAGATTCATAAGATAATTATCCTCAGCCTGTACCATGTCATTATCTGGTTCTGTAGCAGTCCCAGTTTGAGTTCCTTTGCTAGGTTCTACATAGCTAGGGGCTGACATTGATGGGGTGCATGGGATGTCAACATTGTCCCATAGTGGATTTTCTGGTGGATCAGCATCAGATTTATGATATGCAATTGACATGTAACAATACTTGGAGCTCATATGTTTCGCGAACATATGCATTAAGTCTTGGTCTGAATGAATTTGTATGTTGGACTTGCTGTCAGCACAGAAATAGAACATCTTCACTACATCACCATATCCGCAAGGAAACTCATTCACAATTTCAACAACAAGATCTTTAAAATTTGTGGTGTCTGAATCAACAACTTTGTTAATACCATACCATGGTCCTCGCATAGTTGGACTAATTGTCTTGATTTCTAGATTGAAACTGGTCTCGATGTCATTCCTACAGATGAACAAATACATATCTACACAGTTTAATCCAATCCTAACCACACCAAACATGGCAATGATGTTCATCAATTAAAGCAAGGGAACGAGAACTCACCCATCTAAAAGCCAAGCTGGTCGCTCGTCCGCCATCCTTTCTGAATCCGCAACAAATCAGCACGAGATGGGCCTCCTACAACCTCAGGCGATCTGGCCCATGCTTGCAGCCTCCCTGGCAGCGCCTGAAGGCTCCCCGCGTGAGGCCTCGCGG